GGGCAAACAAATTTTTTTATAAAAAAAAACACTTTTTATACCAACCGGTCTGTTGGCCGGGAAACCCAGCCGCGTTTACCCCCCACCGGCCCCCCCTAACGCCCCTCCCCCCCCCCCCCCGCCCAAAAAGTCGATTTTCATCAAAAAAATGATTTTTTAGATAGATATACGGGCATGTCGCCTGCGATGTCTACTTTACAAATATATGAAAATATTATTCATTCTCGAAGATTTTTAAGGAGCTTTATAGAAAATTCTGCAACTCTCTGACACTGGGTTCCAAAATTGATGAACAAGGTGTATTTTCGATTTTTTTTCATAGGCATATAGTCCAAAGTGTCCTCTCCAAAATGGGAATTAAGCGAACTCTTAATTTTTCAAAAAGTTTCAAAAACCTGGTGAAAACGTATATTAGGTGGAATAACCCATTTTTGTCTATTTTTGAGTAAAATAAAAATATTCATAACTCAGTCAAAATCCATCCAAGTTATGTCAGACTCTCAAGATGTACTCTATTTTACTTGCTCAATGCTATTGAGTTCAATAAAAGCTATAAAAACCAACAGAAAATACTGTGGGTTTTGAAAACTTTTTAGAAACCTTCCGAACCGTAAGGATATTTTTTACTATTCTTCAAGTAAAAGATCACATTAAGCAAGGATTTGCACGAGCAGAGGGTCCATTTTGGCCTTGGTCTCTCGAAAATTCCTGTGCGCTGAGGTTTGACGGCGTAAAAAATTTCATAACTTTACTTTTATGTGCCCAACATTTGTGGAAAGTTCCATGGAAATCTCATGCACTGTACGAAAATCGACTCATTTAAGATCGCCCCGATCTTAAATGAGTCCATACGGAGCTCTGTTGTTTACTGTTATCAAGTGAGGAAACTTACACTTTTTTTCAAAGTTGAAGAATTGAGCTATCCACATCGACGTGTAGTTTAAACTGTCTAGTTTCAAAATTTGTACCACTATCTACCGTGGAACTTCTACGGTAGAAGTGATTATTTTCGTATGACTGATTTTTTAGAGACCTTAAATAACGGTTTGTTGAAACTTTTAGCTGGATTTCTCTTTTATGTCTAACATAGCGTAGGAGTATTATGACTTCGTAGTAAAAAGTTATAGGAATCTTTCATTTTCTTGTTTGAAAGATAGGAGTTATGCAGGTATGAAATCGCAGATTTTCATAAGTATGATTTTATTACAAAAGAAAATAATGAACATGCGATGAACACGTGTTTGTTCCTCGTTTAATGTCAAAATCTGCATCTAGCTCTTTTCTTCCGCCAACCTCAAAAGACTGGAATGAACTACCTTCTGTTTTAGCCTCCCAAACTTCTTTAGCCACATTCAAAAATATGCTGCGAGGTTACTCAGGCTTTTAATAATGTTATTTTGTTTACTTATTTATATTTTTAAATTTTTAGTTTTAGGTTATCACAGGGTATCCACGGATGTCACAAGATTTTGTTTCTTTTTTTGTGATGTCCTGCTCTTTAGTAAAAATAAATCTTATCTTATCTTATCTAACAATTGTAAATCAAAACTGTTTTTTGTGATTTTAACCTCAAATTAAACACCTAAACTGAAATTCTGGAAAAATGATACGATCTCTGTTGTAGACACACTTAACTATTTTAATTTCAACTTTTTTTCTAGGCTGAGAAAAAGTTTTCAAATGTATTTGCCGTTATTATTGAACAATTGAAACATACTGAGTTACCCAAACACAAATGGAGTGCTTTAGCATTATTAAATAATATATTATCGTCTACAGATCATATTGAAAAGCGTCTAAACTACCGAAATATATTGTTAGGTGTGAGTTAAGGATACGGTATTAATCTTCATAATGATAACTCTAGTCGACAATCTGCGATAAAATCCCGTGCAGCGTCCAAGAAATGCGAATTCCTCATAGTACTTTCAGAAAAGTCTCTAGGACTTTCTGTTTTTCTGAAAGAGTCTTTAACCCTTTGACCGTCGACATAAGAGAGAGAAAAAAGTACTTTAGAAAATCATTATAGCTGTTTATCTTTGATCCAGTTTCACAGATTTGCACGAGACAATGTCAAATCTTCTATAAGGTATGGAAATCTTTGAAGCAGTCGATGATGCACAGTCCAACATCACATTCGGTACACTGGTAGCGCGTATCACTCCGTTGTTTTGCACGCCGTTCAGTATTGCTGCAAACATAACATCTTCTTTGAGGAGTCTGGTTATTGTCATTTGGGGGAACTAGAGACGGAAAATGTTTGGCTGTCAATCGTAGTGGATGAGCACTCAATGGCCTGCCAACATGTGTTTTCTTCTCATACATTATAAAGGAAAGTAAAAAAAGAACAAAAGATAACCATATGTACAACAAACTGACTGTTCGCTACACATACCCATTTTAAGTCACGATTCTAGAACATACTATCATGAAATGATGGCATCACAGGCTACGGCTGCCTGATGCTTATGCAAGTTGGTCTTAAAAACATTCACTACGATTGATTACGTTAGGTTTAGATACTGATAAAGCCCATGACGTTTATAAACGGCGGCGGCGGTCAAAGGGTTAAGCAATTCTCATTTGTTCAGGAATCAGTAGAATTTTGTACAGTTCATTCACACTATTTTGTTCTGTTGCCATCAGGACCTATTTTAACAGCAAGCTGGTTGATACTTTTTCCAAACCGAGAAAACTGATACTGTTTGGGAATAAAAAACTTGATCAGCTAAAATCCCAGTTAGTGACAATGGACTCGACATAGGTGTCCTAAGCAGTGACTTGACGTTAAAATAAGCCCTGATTACCATAAATACTGTATAAAAAAAGCCAATTTTTCGAATTCATTTTCCAGTGAGTAATAGCTAAAAAGTCTGATTAACTGCTAATTTTTCTTCATACCCTACCTAAAAGGTGACATATGTTAACATTCCAGTAATGATATGAAAAAATAAGAAAAATATACGTCTCAGATGAGATTCCAGCACTCAATTCTCTGTTTTTGCAAGAAGTAATAGAATTTCTCACGGGTTTATTGGGATTAGTAATAACAGCATATATCTGACTGGTTGTTTCTTTTGTTTTCAGCAAATGGTTTACATGATATTTTGGAACAATCCCGGAGTTGCCTGGATAATGATCTTGATCTCCAAATTGATATATTTTTAGACGAACAGAAACATGATGAGCAAGAATTCTTAGGTCAATTCGATCAAAATGATGCCTTGTCTGTCTGCCAAGCTATTCAATTACAGGTAGAAAAGAGAATCTGTGATACATACATACCAACGTTCACTCTTCTTCTTATAGTTGTATTCGAAAACGGATGAGACTGCAACGTTTTTAACAACATTACAATTATTATATGGAGCATTAGCGTCGTCGACGAGCGAAAAAAAGTACCTGATATACTTAAGAATTCATTTTCTATCTTTCAAGACCAATATTTCATTGTAGACACGTAGTTCTAAAAGATTTACTTTCCTATATCATACGTTATCCAACGCAACAACCACGGCAATCTTTAATATCTGACCAAATAAAAACAGTCGACAACAGTTCTCAAACCGATACCATACCGGATGTTTCACTATCATATCCACAAACGAATACATCACATTTAGAAGATGAAAAAGTTGTTGCAGTTATTTTACCACAAGTATCTCCACTAGATGATGCCGTAAAGCCACCACCACGTGCTCCACGATTACGGTCTCCTCCTCCTCCTCCAGCACCGCCTATGCCAGAATTTTTACAAACATTACCTCAAGCTCCATATTTACCTCCTAATTTTAATCACACAACAAACGTTCCTCCTCCTCCTCCAGCACCGCCTATGCCAGAATCTTTACAAACGTTACCTCAAGCTCCATATTTACCTCCTAATTTTAATCGCACAACAAACGTTCCTCCTCCTCCTCCAGCACCACCTATACCAGAATCTTTACAAACGTTACCTCAAACTCCATATTTACCTCCTAATTTTAATCACACAACAAACGTTCCACCTCCGCCGCCTCCACCGGCAGCGTTTGGTGTTAGTAAAACAAGTAAACCCTTGCGTCCTACCTCAAAATTGCTCGATAGTGTACCGAAGCCCGTGCGTAAAACCCGCCGGTTACAGTGGAAAAAGTTACCGCAAAGTATTATAAGTAAGAATGTTATCTGAGAATAACTAAGTGGTTTGAACGTTCCAATATGATGAGGAGTAGAAAGAAACGAGAACTATAGAGTATTGGAAATGAATATAATGACAGTTGACTAATGGTAACTAAGGAAAAAAACAATACAAACTGGTCAAATTGTGGGAAGCATTTTGAAGAACCATTAAGAAATCCACTAGAGCTTAATTTTTTTAGTAAAAATTAAACGAGCCTATCCAACTATGCTGAAAATTAGGTTTTGATTTTCGAATCCAAATTGGACTTCTAGACGGGAAAGGTATTCTTTAAGATTATTGAGTATAAAATCAATTTCTATCATTAAAAATAGATACAAGCAAATTTTGGAAAGATATTAACAACGAAGATGTCAACATTGATTACAACGTAATTGAAAAACATTTTGGCATAGATGAAAGTGAAGCAAAAAATAATCATAACGAAAAGTTAAAGAAAGTTACTGATCGACAACAAGTAATGATACCTATTACACTAATACTGTTTAGTTTTATTTCTGAATTTTAGACTCAAATATTAAATTATAATCGTTCAATTAATATTAATGTGTTTTTGAAACGATTCAACATTGATTTGAATAATCTCGTTAAATTTATATATCATTATGATCCAACTTCAAAAATATTTGATGTTGAATGTTTAAGAATGTTATCGAAAATATTGCCAACGCAAGATGAAGTAAGATTTCAATATGTTAAGGTTTTTGTGAATTTCTATTTCGCCAAAAGTTGGGGAGGCTTAGACGACAAAACTCTTTTCCGTTGGCATCGAACGGGGAAAAATTATTTATGATATCTGCTGAAAATCGAACATGTTCAAAAGCAGAAATCTTAAGATTCTGTGGTTCAGGCAGGTTTACATTTTGTTTAAACTAATCGCATGCCATAACTCAACGAACGTTCATAAGTTAGTGATGTGCAGAATATTCTTCTTGTTTTTTGCTCTTTTGTTTTTCAAAGGTGAGTCAGGTGCATGACCACAGCAGTGATCATTGGGGCTTACCAGAACGTTATATCGATTTAGTTGGTTCAATTCCAAATTATGAGTTTCGTATTCAAACTCAATTATTAATGGAAGATTTTTCAGAATTACATAATGATTATCAACAAAAAATCAAACAAATATTAAACAATATGAATTATTTCAGTTTAAATTTGTCTATAAAACATTTTTTAACGTCATTGTTGGCGATTGGAGATTATTTGAATTATGTATATAAAGCAGTAGCACTAGTTGAGATGTATCTATTATACTTAAAATTTCTTGTAGGGCTCATATTGTGGTGATGCATTTGGCTTTCGCATTGAATTTCTGAAACAATTACGTGATATTAAAACTCAACGTAGTACAAATACTAATTTATTAGATGTTCTCTTAGATACTCTAAGTAAAGAAGTAAAAAATGACAACATTAACTTGCCATTTATCGATGATATGAAAGTTATGTTTGCAAATGTTCTAAGGTAGAAAGATCTTAGAAAACCTTGATTTCCACTTCTTACACATTTATTTTCTTTTATTGCCGTATATTCAGTTTGCAAAATTTGAAAAATGACTATATGGCAATGAAAAAGAAAATTGAAAATGGTATGAACGAACTTTGTACGATCAATGATGATCAATTGAATAAACAATACAACCAATTTTATCAAGTAAAATGAGATTGAAATTATGAAATTACGATGGATGAGTATTTCCATTGTTTCTTCTAGAATGCATTGGGCAAATTAACGGAACTTGATAAATTGATGAGTGAATGTGAACAAAATGAAAAAGAATTGATGACACAATTTGGTGAAAATGATCCTACAGAATTTAATTATGACATATGTATGGAAATATTTCGAATATTGATTGAGAATATTGATTTAGAACAGAAGGTATGAAAGATATTTTATGTCTTATCATTAAAATAAATATCTGCTTATTTTAGGAGAGACAAAAACGTCAATCAACCCTTGTTAAACGAGATAATCACCGTATGTACTTCATCTTTATACCGCTCAACCCTCTGTTCACTAGTTTGTGGATTTTTTTTTCTTTTTTTGCAGAAAACGGTTTACATAATTTTATTCGAAAATTATCAGTTGATCAATCGCCTGAAACAACAAACTTGATGGATGTATTAATGAAAGATCTGAGAAAAAATAAATTTGCAACGGCACCACTAGCAAGAAGACGTACAAATAGAGGAGATCTGACTAATTTGATTAGTAGAGATGTGACAGGTTAGATAAAATAAAATTAACAATTTACTATTCCAAAATATCAGTGCTTTTTAGTTCTTTTATGCTAGATTACTTTTTATATTTTTTTATATTTTCTATTTTCATTTCAATAAGCTTATTTATCTTATTCAAATTTTTTGATCAATTTATGTAAAATCTCTCTGACAGGAGAAATCAAAATATCAGGTCATCTTGAGTCAAGAATTTAAGCGAAAAAAATTTTAGAATATGATATACGTTATCCAACGCAACAATCTTTAATACCTGACCAAATAAAAACAGTCGACAACAGCTCTCAAACCGATATAATAATGTTCGATTATCATACCCACAAACGAATACTTCACATTTAGAAGATGAAAAAGTTCTTACAGTTATTTTACCACAAGTATCTCGATATCTCTTGTGGGACTTTTTTTAATATCTCATATTCAGGAAAATGAATGTATGTGAATAATTCTATACAAATTACGCAGGAATCACAAGCAGTTGACGATACTAGTGGAAAAAAATGAAGTGAACAGAACTAGTGCTCCGCTCAACTTTAGTATTTATTTCAATACAATACAAGGCGGTCTTATGAATAAAACCTACAAATTTAGAGAAAGATTTAATACGAGTATTCATAAGTTATGCTTTAAAGTGCTTCATTCCCACCTACTATCGCATCCCCGTTCCTGTACATGCGTTGATGAGAGTTATACCCGATTCCTAGAGGATTAAATAAGAAACGCTAGAAAATATTCATTATCAGTAGGTTTTCCAGAAAAACGGTGGTAAAGCAATTTCCTAGAAAAGCGAAACGATCATCCTATGCAAAAATCAGTACACAAATGCACGGTGTGTAATACACACCGTGCATTTGTGTACTGCATTTGCACAAGCCTGTAAAAGCTCCTTGATGCTAGTCCAGAAACTGTCAATAGTCATTCCATTAAAATAAAATAAAACGACGTACTTTCACATTATCTGTAACACACTTATAGTGTGAATAAGTTACAATGAAAATAAATCGCTAGAATCTACGTGAGGGACGTTGATGATAGTTCGCATTGATGCAGACAAGATATTTTAGGCACAAAATGCCACTGTCAGTATGAATTCGTGCTGTTCTTAAGAAATTTAAAAATTGTGACTGTGTCCGTCACATAACCTATTCATTGTGATTGTCATTGTAGCTTATGTTACCTTTATTTCTCAAAAACATATTTGTTGGCTTGTTTTAAAGCCAACCAGAAATGAAAGAGCTTTTATTTATTTTATTTTGTTTGCTCAAAATAAATAGTAAATCAATTAAAGTTTTGAATGTTTCCAGAGAAGTTCAGTTGAGGGATATCAAGTGGGTCTGTTTACAAGTCACAGCTTATTCCTTTTTCTCTTGCATTGAAAGATTTAAGGATAAGGCTGCAAATAAGAAATTATTTCATTAATATTCTTGATCTTAAATTAGTTGAGGAGTGGCTTAGATTTTAGTGTTTTATCATAAATCTTGAGTGTGACTTCGTTTTGACTTAAGTTTTGTTTAACTGTGTGGAACATGATCTTGAGTTAAGTGTTGACTTAGACCGTGTCCAGAGTTGTTGTAAGTCAATGTTGGAAAACGATACACTAAAAAGCCTAGACGTTGACTTAAGTCTGTGATTTCATAGTTCATGAACTTATGAGTATTGATAAAACAATATTCTGAAGACTAAAGTATTTTAGAAACAAACGATTAGTTAGGCTACGATCACTCAGGTTCAATCGGGAGTAGCGGGGGGTATATTTAACTACTAATTACGCTTGTTCAGTACACTAGACTTAACTTCTCCTAATTTGTGAAACCCCCGAGCCTCAAGGAAAATAATGCCATTTGGAGAAGTGCATTGCGATAGTATTTAAAAATTACTATAACTTAGTAATTGTTTAAAATGTTTTATCACCGATGTTGTTCTAGATATGTTATCTGAACGTAGTTTTAATTTTTCTTAGTTTAGCAAACTTTTCATAGTTTTTTATGAGAAAAATACACGACAAGTGAGGAATGACTCATGCTCGCTCTAACGCTAAAGTGTCATCGTCTTCGACGACGACGGTCACAAATAATGGTTCTAAAAAATCGTCAACATCGAACAAACGAACATATCAAGTGGATTCACCAGTGACGGTTAGAGCGAATGATAGTGAAAATCAAGTTCCACAAGAGAAAAGTCCCTCGTTTTATCTTTTACCTCAGTTATTACAGTCAGATGAACAACAGCAGCAACAATCGTCTTCGTCCATAGCTGTCCGTCAGACACGTTCAAAAATTCGAAAACAACTTCCTTTTAATACAATTGATGAGGAAAACGATGAGATGGTTAATCAAAAATCATTACAGAATGAGAAACACCAATATTCTCCAACAAGTCAGTTAATATTTGATTCAACAAAAAGTCCACCAGGACAAAAGCCAAGAATTATTTTAAAAATTCGTCTTAATCCATGTAAAGATAATCAAGAACAAACGAGTCCAACAAAAGAATTAGCAAATGAAATAACGGAAGCATTAGGCACAGTTAAATTAGCAAATGATATTAAACATATTGAAGATAGTAAAAGTATTTCATCTCGTATTATACCATTTACACGAAATAAACGTATACAATCAGCAACAAATGTACCATTAAGAAAAATACATGGAGCACCATTGAGAGGACAATTTTTACATGCACCAGATATAAAAATAAATGATGTTGATAATAGTAATGAAATTATATTAAATCAATCAAGGTAAATTTATTTCATAGAAGATGCAGTTAATTTCAGAAAGAATTGTTTCTATCATATACCGTTCTTTCATTTAGTCCACAGCCGTTTCCTCTAGCATCCATAGCCGAAAAACTTCCAACAAAACAAATTGAAAATATTATTGACGATGTTACAAATAATGACAATGATCTTGGCTTTTTGAGACGTAGTAAACGACGTGTAAAGTTAATAAAATATAAAACAGCTATGAATTTTGATTCCTTTATTGAACAAGAATGCGAAGATGGTTTAGAGATACGAACAACAACTGACAAAGGCCGTGGAATCTTTTCAACAAAAAAATTCTATCGTGGTGATTATATTGTGGAATATGCAGGAGATTTAATCAGTTATCAACAAGCAAAACAACGGGAATTAACATATGGTCTAAATTGTCGAATTGGCTGTTATATGTACTATTTTAAACATGGAGAAAAAGTTTATTGTGTCGATGCAACGGATGAAACAAATCGTCTAGGTAAGCAAACTTGTGTGTTAATTATTCAGACCAAATCATTTGGGTTCCACCCTCTACACTACTGATAAACTCAACGTAGAACACTTTTTGTGTTGGTATATGAAATGTTATGTAAAACAAATCAGAACATGTCCAATTTTTTTATCACTTTTCTCTTTAGGTCGTCTCATAAATCATAGTCGAAAAGGCTGTAATTGTCAGGCAAAAGTGCTTGTCATCAAAGATCAACCACGATTAATTTTGATTGCATCACGCGATATTAATGTTGGAGAAGAATTATTGTATGACTATGGCGAAAGACGAAAAGATATTCTAGATAGTTTTCCATGGTTAAATGAATAAATAGTTTTTTTATTTTATTTGTAATTTTTCTCCGTGTGTGTGTATTTGTACAGTTAGTTTTATGTATGTTTTGTCTACGCATTCTGATCCATTTTACTTCTTGTCAAATGGTATTTTTTTCTTCTGACTGACTATCTCTTTCTCTTTATTTTTAATTCATTCATTGTACTAGGTCTCTCTATCTGTACAATAAAAAAATGTTTTTTTAGACCTAGATCTTGAAGAAAATATTTTTGTTAGAATGACCATATTGATCTTAAGTTTTATTCTTTCACGCTGTAAGCGAAATCCTATTATAATATTATAATATGTAAACTATCGAAATACACAAAATTAAGTTTGTACGAATAGATACTTGAACACATGAACTTAGTTTTGCAGTAAACTGTAAAATAAATTCATTTTTTCTAGTCTCTTTTTGAATACAACGCTGATCCTATTTGTTAAATATTACTTTTTGTTGATGTTCTTTCTGCAACAAATAGACTTTGTTATACTAGTCATTTTTTCCTTTTTTTCATTAGAGTTATTTCTTTTTTCTGTGTGCGTTTTCTTTTGTACAAAAATAGTCTGGATTGACTGAAAGAAATATTTTATTGTGTTGATTGAACGAATAAAGAATAAAAACTGTAAAGTTTTATGGAATGCTGGACTCAAATACTATCAAATTGTTTCAATATCAGTAAAGGGCAGCGATTTTAAAATCCAATCTGACGTATTAACTACAGCTATTTCCAACTTCATCTTTTTATTTAAAATCAAATAAAAAGATGAAGTCGGAAATAGCTGTAGTTAATACGTCCGATCAAACTATGTGTAACGCTCATAAGACATGCTTTACTAAGTTAATAACTGGCGGTTTGTCCAGTAACAATCGGAAGACGTAATAGGAAGTAAACTCTCTTAGCCCCATCTACAAAATTGTACATTGGTGAACATCAGTTTCTTGGAAATAATTCAAAGTTCTGTTCTAAAAAACTGATAAAATAAGATGTACAAAAGGTTTTATTAGAATGAAGTTTGACTTCAAGGAAAGAAAAAAATTAATGTACAATGATCCTTGAACTTGAACCTGAACTTAAACTTGAAAGTTAATTTTATGCCTAACAAAACCAAAGACTTGTAAATACAGTGTTACCGCGCGGAAAAGAGAACAACTGCAAGAAGAGAGAAAATCCTGGTGTTCTAATGTTCTTTGATAAAAGTTTTCTAAGGAGGAATGAGTAGTTAACACATGGTGAATATGCGTGAACTGGTGCGTAGACAAGAAATTTTTATTTGCGGGAAATTTCTACGCTTGTGACTATGTGCAAAAATTACTCAGAAAAATTCTTGTGTAGCATTTTTCTCCCATAAACATGACTCGTAATTGACGAGTGAAAGATGTGGACTGTCTGGTGAGCACGTGTGAATTTTGTTCGGTCATATGCTCATAGCAACACATGATCACTAATGAAGTTATAAAAAAGTTCGCGCGTTTGATACTTGATACTAATTCTAACATATACTATATAAGACAAAACTTAAATAGAAATAAAGAAAGAAAAGAATGCTCCTGAGTCAAGTGTACATGACTATTAGATACACAGAAACCGACAATCAAAACGAAGAAAAAATAGACAAAACTGTGATTATGTCAGTGCACAAAATACCTTCGTACCTGAAGGACGTAAGGCTTGAGTCAAACTATGACCTAAAAATAACTATAACTAAAAATATCGTCCAAAGCACCTAGAAGTTAGCAAAGTATTTTAAGTTGGAGATAGAGCACTATCCCACGAAATACAAGTTCATTATCACCAGTTAAGATTCTGGTAAACTAAATCTTATTTTCTATAGAGAAATTCTATTACGTCTTCGTTTAATTTCTTTTCAAATCGCTAAAAAATATAAGTGATATATTGGCAGTTGGCTTAAATTGTAGAATATAGTTTTTAGTTATTTTGTTGCGACATCTATTTACACATGTTCGTTCAGATTTAGTTTTTTTCTTATTGTGCAAAAGTGAAGTAGAATAACGTAGTAAATTAACATTAATTGGTGTTAAGAACATGAAATTCTACTCTATAACGTTTCCACTAAAACTCAGGTCATAGGTCTTTGATTTATCCATAGTTTACCTTTTAACTTTTTCACGCATTTGTTCGACCATATGATCTGAAGCGTTGTCATTGAGGGGTTGTTTATATACGTTGCAAAATATTTTAGACAGTTGCTATTGTTTAGTACGTTTTGCGAAATGGTTTATGCTAAAAAGTTTTGAGCCCTTTTTCTTTATTTTTAGATCATAAATAAATTCTCGATTATGCTGATATAATTTTATTTATTTCAGTTTCCGGAAACACGATCACACATACGCACTATTTTTTAAGAATTATTAGCATTTATTTTTCAAATAAGACGATTAATTTCATTTTTCTAGTTATTATATATAAAAAGAGGCATATTTTATTCTCTTCTCTAAATCTCTCACTATAATTATTTGAAAACAAAAATGAGTCAAACAGCGAGGCAACCAACAAATAGTGGTTTAACAACAACGACTGCCTATTATCAACCAGCAGCGTTAAAAGCATTACATACATCTACAGCAACATCAAATTCACCATCACTTAAAGCGTTATCGTTAGAGTATCAGAAATTATTAAAAGAACCGGTTGAAGGTTTTACAGTAAGGTTGGATGATGATACAAATTTATACAAATGGCATGTAGGGTAAGTCAGAAAAAAAGAGTCCTTTGTTTTAATAATTCTGTATGTCTGTCTGATACTTTTTCTAGAATATTTGGTCCACCGGACACCTTGTATGCTGGTGGCTATTTCAAAGCTGATATGGAATTTCCAAGTACCTATCCATTTGCTCCTCCAAAAGTAAGTTTAGCGAAGTTTGACATCCAGCTTTTAGAAAAGATGAAATGAGGTTGTTTTAATCGAATGAAAGTAGTAGCTTCACTATTTTTGCAGCCTAGTTGTTATACTTTTGTAATCTGTTTTTTTCTGCAGGTTCGATTTTTAACAAAAATGTGGCATCCGAATATTTACGAAAATGGTGAAGTGTGTATTTCAATTTTGCATCCACCTACAGAAGATCCACAATCTGGTGAACATCCGAGTGAACGCTGGAATCCAACACAAAATGTTCGTACAATATTAATGTCCATAATCAGTTTACTGAATGAACCCAATTGTTCATCTCCTGCTAATGTTGATGCAAGGTAATAAATATTTTTTGCACCATTACGTGCAAGAAGCGTCAGTTTTGCGTGAATCACGTTTCAAGCTGTAAAGCTTGAAATTTTTTATTGACACTGTTATTCTACTAAAGCCTGTCAGTCGTCCATTATTCCTCGGAATTTTTTCTTGGACGAAGTTAGCCTAATAATCGCCAAAGTTCTTCGAGAAAACCAGAAAACAGTCGTCCTCACCAGAGTTTCTTGCATACAGCCGGGGACTGAAACACACACTGTATGATTTCTCTTGTATTCTATTTAACCAAACAATTTTTGTTATTTTTTCTTCTGTAGTGTTATGTATAGAAAATTTAAAGATCATAAAGATTATGAATATGAAAATATTATTAAGAAACAAGTGAATGATTCAAAAGTTATTGCCGAACAAGAAGGTATTGTTATACCAAAAACATTAGACGATTATGTGGCACCATCAAGATCAAATAAGAAAACATTGACAGGAGGAATTAGTCGAGACGATGAGGATGAAACAGATTCGATGTTGGGCAGTGAAAATGGAAATAATTTGTCAGACAATGACGATGATGAAGAATATATGGAAGACGAAGAAGATGAAGGACGATAGAAAATTCAAAACAAATAACTGACCAAAAAAACGAGATACACGTTTCTTTCCTGTTACTACTCCTTTTTTTCTTCAGTTATAGTTTGTTTACTTTTTCTGTTCTGTTGACATGAAAAGAACACTCACTCAGTTTCTCAGAGCACATTACTATTTTTTTTTGTATTTGTTTGTACAGTATTTTTTTCATAATTCAGAAAGAACAAACTGTTGGCTGCACGTATACGCAGCCAAGAGATTGGAAACATACGTCATCACACGTTGAATTAACCATACAGTAGAGTTTTGTTTATTAGGCAAGCTTTTGAATCACAGCTCTTTCATATTATTCTATAAACGTTGAATAAAATGACTAAAGCGTATCAGCGTTTATCAGACAAGTTATTTTCTCTACTTTTTTTAATAATATACTTGCTGTTCAAGAGCAAATGAGAAAGACGACTTTTCGGGAATAACAACGATTACCGCTTAGCCTATTGGTTAGTCATTTGCTTCGTTATAGTGTTTATGTTATAAGTATTGCGCTTTTAAGCTCCTTTATTGTTTGCTCATGCTATTTATGTTTAACTTAATAGACTAATATGTGACATTCTTTTTGATCTGCGTTTTTTCTTTTTGTTGTGTACGAATAGTTTCTTTCAATCGATATGCCATTTTGTCTAATTTATCTCAGCACAGGTAATAACATGTAATTGTTCCTTCTCCCTTCAACTTATTCTTTGTTTACAATCAAATTAACCTAATCCTATCTCTGTCTCTGTGTGTGTCTGGTTTTTACAGGAAAAAGGATAAACACCCATTAAATGAATCATCTCTATGTTTTTGTTTCCAATAAAGAAAACAAACGGGTTTTTTTGTAGAATAAAATGTTTTCACGTTTTCTTGTTCTAATTTGACTTTTTTTCTATTTCTTCTTGTATATTGGAAAGCTAAATACAAATAAATAACTAATAGTAAAATGTCTTTTTATTTTATATTCAAAAGTTTGCGTGGCAATCACATGTCATTTTGGTGAAAGAGAATGAAATATTTCAAAAGAGAACACTGATGTTGAACTTGTTCCACGAAAATACCATGTAGCATAACCCAAACAGAAACGTTTTGTTGAGTATTAGTGAAGCTCTCAGTCGGTATCTTTCAACAAACTAAGACGGTTTTATAATAGAACTCTGTCTAGAGAACGAGCGTCAGCAAGAACCTCCATCTTTGCTCTCCATCTATGTCTGTGAGTGAGATCAACGCTACGTTTTGTGAACTCTAAGATAGAGGCAAGTCATACTTTCTCTTTATATGGACAGTGACAAAACAAAAATTGAGTTCTTAGTCACATCAAAACAATCAAACTTTGCTGATTAGTACAGCTTTAAGAAGAATTTATGAGCGATATGAAACTGTGTTACATGGTCTGTTATACACAATGGTCAGATTCCAAAAGAAAAGGAAAAACAACTCTTGTGGAAAAAAAACTTAAGCAGATTTTTGTTTCTCAAATGTATGCAATTATCGAAATTAGTTTTTTTATTGGATGATATTCGTTCAAGATGGTAAGCTCCATGTTACGGTAGATGACGATTTGAACTGTAAACCTGTTAAGAAAAGTATCTCGCTTTGTATGGTTGACAGTTGTTTTTCAATCACATTGCACAATATTAGAGATCAATAAGACCGCAAGGACGATTTTCTTCCCCCTTATAATCTTTTGAGCTCAAGTTCCTGCAAAAAGAAATGTTTTTTAATGCAGAAAATTTTTGGCTGTCTGATCCTTCTTAGAGAAAAACCCACTGTATTAAACGACCTTGGTCTTCAACCCACAATACTTTGATTTTAGATGTGTTCCACTATTTCATCATCTAATCCTTCAATTTTACCGACTTTTACTTGTGAAAATACTACTGGAGAATGTCAGATATTAACACCAGATACTTCTCTATGTCCAAAGTCGCCTACAAAACGTCCGTGTCGCGACCAAAGTGAATTAGTAGTAAATAAAACAAAACGATTATGTAACAGGTAATAAAGTCATCTTTTCTGATAGAATACAGCCTAGTTGTAAATTTGGTTATATATTTCGTTATAGTACACGAACATCCTTTTCTGAATTAAGAGTTGATGAAACAAAACATAAAACTATTGACAACCCTTCTTATCGGCAAACAACAATATCAACACCATCAACAGTAACGTCAAATTCAAAAAAACCTTCACCATCTATTCTAGAATGGCTGTCACAATTTAATCAAATGGCGTCGGATGATCGAACATCAGCCATTGATTTATTTATTAAAAATTGTTCCAGTGATACATCTCAGTTAAAATATTTACGAAATAAAATTGAACCATATTTTCAACGTGATTTTATTCGAGATTTGCCAAGAGAAGTAAATACAAATTATTAAAAAAAGTTATTGTTTCACTATAGTGCGGAAATAAAACTAGGATTTTCTGGATCTCACATAATTTTATAAAAACATGTTTGTCTTTTTTTATTTTTTTCCAGCTTGCATTACAAGTATTAAGATATTTAGTAGCTTCTGATTTGTCACGAGCATCACGTACATGTCGTGTGTGGAATGAAATAATTAATGATGTATTATTGTGGAAACGTTTATGCCAAAATCAACAAATACAATATAAAGATAAACCTTGTATATTTGACAATTTAATAACAAATCCATGGAAACGTTCGTATGCCTGTTATCAACATTTAATTCATACATGGAATAAAGGACAATTACCACACTCAAGATATTTTCGAGGACATGAAGGTCAAGAATACACTGAATTTTTATCATTCACTCTAGCTCTAGTATTTACTCTTTAAATATTTTAGATTTTGTTATCACATGTCTTCAATTCGATGGAAAACGTATTGTGTCCGGTTCTGATGATAACACACTGAAAATTTGGTCAGTTGAAACAGGCGAAGTACGTATGCTCGAAATTTTGGTAGAGTCTTCAATATTAACTAAAATTTTCTTTTTTATTTTAGTGTGAAAAAACATTAACTGGTCATAATGGAGGTGTATGGTGTAGTGAAATGACGGATAATTTAGTCGTAAGTGGAAGCACAGATCGAACAATTCGTGTGTGGGATGCTGAAACGGGTGAATGTAAACATGTTTTATATGGTCATACGTCAACCGTTCGATGTTTAGCATTGTACAAAGATTTTGTTGTATCGGGTTCACGTGATGCAACTGTTCGTATTTGGAATATAATCACAGGTGAACGATTACATACATTGGCTGGTCATACAGCCGCTGTTAGATGTGTTTGTTACAATGGAAAGTATGTTGTGTCGGGTGCCTATGATCATACAATACGCGTATGGATACCAGAAAATAAACGTTTAGTACATGTATTAGAAGGACATACAAATCGAGTTTATTCACTTGTGGTTAGTTTATTTCATCATTTTCATGTTTATTTCAATATCCATGAAAGTATTTTTTTATTTTAGTTCGATAGTAAACATATTGTTAGTGGTTCATTAGATTGTTCCATTCGCGTATGGGATGTTGAAAGTGGTACATGTTTACATCATTTAACTGGTCATTTATCGTTGACAAGTGGGATGCAATTACGTGGAAATATTTTAGTATCTGGAAATGCTGATTCAACAGTTAAAATATGGGATATCGAATCAGGAAAATGTTTACATACTTTATCTGGTTAGTTTTATATCTTTACTTTATAGAAAATAGTTTGATTACTGGAAATTGAGAAGAAATAAAAATAATTAATCACAACAAAACTTAAAAGTCTATATCTTTTCGATTCTTACTGCAAGAAGGATAGACGGTAGTGGATCATGAACAATAAATCTCTTACTGATCAAAAAGATTTATGAATCACGTGTAAAATTTAACTTACTCCTACCTACAATGTCTGTTAATAAGGTAAACTTTTCCACCTTCATCAACTTTTCTCGAAAAATTACTTATGCAAGTGATAAGGATTGTCGTTAGTAGCTCGAAATTTTAATGATAGTAACATCGTTTCTACTATCATCTTTCTTATTTTTCATTCTTGTTCTAGGTCGAAACAAACATTTGTCTGCTGTCACTTGGGTACAAATTGTGTTGAATTATGTTGTTAGCTCGGGTGATGATGGAACAGTTAAAATATGGAATTTAGAAACCGGAGATTTTATAAGAAATTTAATGGAATTAGAATCAGCTGGAAGCGGTAAGCTATGAGCAAAAGCATTATGGTATTTTTCTATTGAGTTTAGTCAAGTTGTTTCTTTCTAAAAAAAAAGGATCGAAAATATGTTTATTTCGTTTTCATTATTTCTTGACCAATCACAAAGTGTTCATGCCGGCACTATTAACTAGAAAGAAAAAGTATTTATTGAAGACCGATTGCTTCCTCCATATGACTAATAGCTGTTTAAATACATTTTATGAAAAAGAGTTATTTAAATACAGTTGAGATTAAAAGATATCAAACGAAGAACTAGATGAATTGTCAAACATCAATTCTTATTCGCGTTTTCTTTTAGGTGGTGTTGTTTGGAGAATAAAATGCACAAACTCTGCACTTGTTTGTGCTGCTGGCAGTCGTAATAGTACGGAAGATACAAAAGTTATCTTACTGGATTTTGATCGTACAACATCTTTGAATAATGACGAAAATAGTAACAGCAATAGTAGTTCTATGAGTACAACAGGCGCCATCCTTACCACAAACCCACTCCACAAAAACGATCGTATTAATTCGGATGATGAAATGTCAGTGACAACAAATCCTTCAGCATCTTGTTCGCCTAGTATATCATAAATATAGACAAAAAAATTAAAATCATGAGAATGTTTTCTGTGATTGTTCCCAATCTTATTTTGTGTGTGTGCGTGTGTGTGTGTGACGGTGATTCTGAAAACGACTGTCATTTTTAACTTAAGTTTGCCATGCTTTTTACATAAAAAGAATTTCATTTTTCTCACCTGTTTTTCGTTTGTCTCTGTCGGTTTTTTTTTCTTTGCACTATTGTTGTTATCATTAATATTTTTGTTGCGCACGCTCATCTGTTTAGAAAAAAAAATGTGTGTGTGTGTGTGTGTGTGTGTGTGTGTGTGTGTGTGTGTGTGTGTGTGTGTGTGTGTGTGTATTAATCTTTAATTATTGGCAACACAGATAAAACAAAATTTCTTTTTGGTTAGTACAGCATTCTTTTCCTGCTCGTTAGTTCGGTTTATTTTGCGTGTACGATTCCCCTCGTGTATTTGATCTGCTATTTTTTCTTTTTATCTATTTTCACTTCCGGTGAGAGCGACAAATCTTAAAAACCAAAACACATTTTATCTCTTATTTCTCTACTTGTTTATGATAGATAAATAATTCAGATTTTGTTTTTTTTTCGTCAAAACTAGAACAAAACCAATATCTATGATGTTTATCCTGTTTTTATTTATATGTTCTTGTTGTTCAAACTTATCGTTGATTATTTTTCTGTTCTGTTCGATTTTTTTTTTTATAATGTCATTTTTTGTTGTTGTGTATTCCATTAAGAAAGAAAAAACAAAAAAAGTCGTTATCACGACATTTATAGTATCATGAAAAAAACAAAAATAATAAAAATATATCTCAATTCAATAATATGAAATGTTTTAAGGATTGCACTGAGTTTTCTATTCTTTTTACAAATGAAGAGAATGTACACTATAAAGTTTCTAGTTTTCTTTTCGAAAAATAAGTTTAAACTTGACGAACGAGAGTTTCAAAAACAAAAAAGTATCACCATATCTCTATTGCCACATGTGAAATATTGTTGAGAAAATATTACTTGTTTAGTTGATACCAAAGTACTCAATGCATAGTAAGTCGATAATTTAAGAAAAATAAATTTTATAAACGACTTCGACGACCAGCAACTTTTATATTTGTTTAATTGGTTTATGTTTATGTTCTAATTTCAGCATTAATTCCTATGTCATTAACATTAAATGAATTTCAATCAGCTATTCGTTTTATTCAAAAGTTATCTCAAAAACTGGGAGATCATTGGCAAATAGTTGATCCTTCTCCAATTCATTATCCTTATTTAGTTTATAAAATTGTTCAAAAACGTTCTAACAAACAAGAAAAAGAAGACTATCTTCAATACGAATATCATGTTATTTATAATGAAAGTTATTCGGTACCAATGATTTATTTTAATGTGTCAAATTTAAATGGTTCTCTACTTAGTCTAAAAGAGATATGGGAATTATTTTCATATAATAATAGTTCACCATCGTTGAATATGTATGAAACTATAACACAACAAGAACATCCAGTATTAAATCGACCATTTTACGCGTTACATCCGTGTCATACAGAAAAATTGTTAAAACAATTGATTGCATCAAATATAGTACAAAATTCAAACCAATATTTAATTGCTTGGCTAAGTTTATTTGGACAATCAATTGGTTTACCATTTATACCGAATTATGCAATAGAAAATGGTAAATCATATTAATTAGTTGGAAAATTTTGTTTTTATAGATTCTATTTTATTTTCAGAAATTTTAAATTAAGCGTTTATTGTTCGAGTAACAAGTTCTAAAGATTATTTTCGTTCAGAACAATAATCGAGGTAAATAGACGGAAATGAGCAATAAAATTTGATATTTTTGATTTGATTCTATCCTATTTTAGTTTAGGATGTGTGTGAGACGATGAACAAATTTTATGAAAATCAAAAATCAAAATAAAGAGGCTAATGATTAATAATGTTCAAATATAATATCCTCATTATTAAAGTTTTTCTATTAAGGAAAAACAAGTCTGTTCGACTCTCTATTCCATTTTAATCGAAGAAGTTCTATTGAATAACTTACGTGCGACACGTTATAAGCGTTTTACTCATCTAACCTTCCCCTTTATAATATACAAAAAATAACTCAACTGTTCTTGTTGACAAAAAGAATTTGACGGTAGTACATTTTTTACAATGATTAAATGTGAGCAAATTTTTAATTTAAATCAATACTAATGGTAATATGGTCAAATATAGATAAAAATTCGAAATTATGTCCATTTGTCCTTCTCATTTTGGATGATAAGTACAATAACTTTGGAAAATGTAAGTTTTGAAAGAGTTCATGTTTTACTGAACATTGATGAATCTTTTTTCATTAGAATATTTGATAGACGCTATATTGTTATTCGAGGCAGTATTAATCATCTTTTCATAAACGTTAGGGTATAAAGAGCATATAGTGTAACCTTTAATGGTGCTTTTAAATCTATATCTAGTTTTTTATTAAACTTTTCTCTATCGACAATATTAACAATAGCATTGACTAGTGTATTCATAACCTTAATCGCTGATGATCGTGAGTGCCTTTCACTTTCCGTATATTCATCTACAATATGATGAGGTAAGATGAAGTTGATTATTTTTATTCATCTACTAAATACTTCATAGAAATATGACTTGTTTCTTTTTTACTTTTGTAAAAAAATAAGTAAGCAACGACAAAAGAACACAAAATAAATATGACCATCATAGTTGTGTATGCTACATGAACTTCGTTCAACAGTTTAAAACACGCTTTTACTAATCCATTTAAATCTTAAACTATTCTTATGCTTTTTTTCATAAAGTGTAGTGTGCTTTCTGACAATCCCTTATGTTTCATTATGAGATTAAATCCTTGCAAATCTAAATTAATCATTATTTTGCATGATATCTGCGAATAAGTGTGATGCAAATCAATATAACAACAAATATACGTGCGTGACAGACTAAGATAAAAAACAGCGATGCTAATCATATTTAACTTTTAATAGGAGTGACATGACTGATTACAGAATCTTGATTTGATGATTGCAAGTTTCAGGAACTTTTGCATCTAAACTCAGAGATGTCCTTATCTCATGTATCATTCATTTTATCGGATAAGGTACGTAATAATGCAAATCTTCAAAAAAGAAAAAAGATCTGTTCTAGATAGAGTTTAATTATGCCATCGATTCATCATCTTCAATTTCGAAGCGAAAAAGTTATTAAGTCGATGATATCAACAGTTTCGCTTGCTGGTGGATACTGAGTACTTTTCCGTCTAATGAAAGGATAACTTACTTTCTTATACTGTCTGGCTAAAATAACTATTTGGCTAGACAGATCTTATTTAAGGAGAAACTTCCTCACAGACAATCGGTTTTTTAATGGGATATCAAAATCGAGTTTTTTGCATGAACAGATAACCGAAAGTGTCCCCTTTCACAATTTGTATAGCTCTCGATGAAAAACGTACGCTATGAAAGTTTTTCTCACATGATTTATTTTGTTTCCATTTGAGAGCGCTATGTAATATAAACTTCAAACTTGTTTTACGTTTTTCTCAAAAGGCATTTCTCGTGCAGTAAGGTACGGTTTTCTCAAGATAATGACTCAACGTCATGAACTGTTGTTTTTTTGTTTGATAGCTAAAACAAATGCACAAAATGACAAATCATTTTTTTGAATTTTGCTTTCGTTATTGAGAAAAGTGCACTTTACTAAGGAGAAAAGAGACACTTTCTGAACTTTCAACTTAAAATGAACATAAACTTCGACTTTCGATCCAAAATTTTCTGAAGAAATGGCGAAATACGGGTCCGATTTTGGACAGAAATGTTAATATTCTAATAGAAGTGAAATTTCTCATATCTCTCTCCACTTTTCTCAGCACATTGCAATCATTAGGTTTGTGTGTGCCGCAATAAATGTGATTGAAAAACACAGGATCAACTTACCATTCTGTGCTTGCTTCAAACATTCATCGTTGCCACAAGTACTGAGCAATCGGTCTGATAAGTGATGCATCTCTCTTCAGGATATTAATCAACGTTTATATTCATTCTGCTGTCAGTTGTAATCAGAGGACTGAGTTGATGTGGTGTTTTTAGCAACATTATTTAAGACAGAAATGTTAATATTCTAATAGAAGTGAAATTTCTCAGGGAGGAAGCAACAAAAATTCGACCCTTCAAGCTTTTTTAAAATTTTTCGACCTGAAAAAATTGTTTTGAAAAGCTAAATCCAACTTTTTCTTATTCAGTTCAACGTGCTCTTTCCAATCTTGTATAATTTAACTGGAAAGAAAATAGTACTCACCTTTTGCATTTCCAGTACCTTATCTCGCAAACAGTCCCATTTTGCTCCCTGCGATATCAATAACTTGTGAACAACTCATATTTGGCCAAAATTTGTTCTCATCATTAAGCCATAGTGTCTCATTCATCAAAATTTCATGCAGATGGTTGCACAGTATAGAAAATTTTTTCTGAAAGAGGGGCGTTCTTCCTTAACTAAGCGCAAAATGATTTTGCCGCCCAGAAGTTTTTATTTACTTGTTCTTAATTGAATTATACGACTTGGACATCGTATACACTCTGACACTTCGAGACAGCTGTAATTTATCAAAAATGCTGCCTTTCTGAAATCTAGAGATTGAACCAATAACATTACAATCTATTTAGTTTAGCACATTAAGGATTTCTAAAACGTTGTATCGCAACAGTAAACAACTGTTGAATAGGCCCTATACGGATTGAATATTTTCTATATTATGTCAAAACAGAGTCGGGCGTATAAAGATCTTGTTTTAAAATTCATTATGGATCATCATTCTATTAGTCTGCTTACAAAGTTAATTTTTTTCCTTGTAACTGTGACATGTTTTCTTAAGGAACTTGTATCGAAATAGTTATTAATTAGATATCTGAAAGATATGAGTCAAAGATATAGATGATGTAATATCATCAATTGCCAAAGTCTGCCGATGGCGTGCATTAATTTTAACATGTATAAGTTTTCTATGAGCGGTATCAGAGCATCATTTGCTTGAAAATAAATTTTGTACAAAAAATGAAGAAATTTAATATCTGTTTAGTGTAGATAAAAGTGTGCATGCTATCATTTACAAGGCGAATATGGTGACCAAGTGCCGTTTTCATTGCATATAATACTTAAAACATTCTTATTTTGTTCTCGACATACATATTCAATGACGGAACCCGGCATTGCGTGATCACTATCGTGATTTAAGATTGTTAACCTCGTTGATTTTAATTCAATATTTGGTGGCGCGATACTTGGTGGACATTGACGAACTAAAAACGAAATGATTTGAGTTTTAGTATTGTGATGTTATGAATATGGGTTAGTCACCCACCTAAGCATTGTGGAAAAGGCTGCCATTGATGTTTCACACATGATACACTCATAGGTGTATTTTCACTTATTGGAACGTGAAAACTTTGGCAACGAAAGCTAATTGTTCCGATGTATTTGTTGTTGACTAAAGTTACAGTATGGTTTAACAAGAGTAAGTTATTGGCAATAGACATTGCTTGTATATCGGGTAGGGAATTACACCCGTCATTATCAGCCGTATCCAAAGCACTACCACCTTAAAACAAGACCTTTTTATCTCATTTGTCCTATTATATTCTGTGTATGTATATCCTACTTTTCAGTATGCATTTTGGTGCTGGTGTCCACTGTCCTGTTTCTTGACAAACCATTACCAATGGGCCACTGGACGTATCGTAATAATACATATCATTTGCGCATTTGTACGTCACTGATTCACCGGGCAGAATATCGTTATCCTCATTATGTATCGGGCTCTTAATTGTCTTGAATTCTGGAGGCTTACCACTCGCATACACAACATTTCGATCGGAAAGATGTAGTAAGAGGTTCAAAGAACAAGCAGGAATAGCTAGAGAAGATAAATAAATATTTAAATTAAAGAAGGCAGTAGTCTTTACAATAAAAGATTCTACCTTCACATTTTGGATAAGAGGACCATTGTGCATTTGGCTGACAGACACTAACTAGCGAACCTGTTGTTGGGATAAGTCTCGTAAATGATAAACATTCAAGAGTAAAGAATGACGCAATGGCAAATGTGGGAGGATCACTGAGCACTCTTGTCACATTACTGCGTGGATAATTAATTGTGGTATAATTAGACGATGGAATTCCAGTACACATTGATACATCTTAAATGGAATCGTCTTGTTCCTGGTCACATTCTGCTTAAATATTTTAGCATCTTTCTAACGGATGGACCGGAAATAATGACACACTTTTGTTCTCTTTTCTTCCGTGCACAACTGAGGTTCGAAGATTCCATTCTAAACTCATTCGATAGAAAATTTTCTGTTCTACAAAATCCATCACCTTCTTTCATTACATATTATTTCATTATTTTAAAAAATAGTGCAGAGTAGGCAGTGGTAAAAAGTATAACTACGATTTCCTATCAAAATTTTGGTGACTTTTCGTTTTTGTGTAACTTTTCGAAAAATAATGTGGTAATTGAGAAAAGAATGTGGTATAAAAATGTTCAAAGGATTGAGCGCTATCATCCAGACTACCCTGCTTATTCGTTTGATCACCCAAATTGTGAAGCTTTCAGTGCACAAGTTAAGCTGTACTTTCGGGTAACGTGAGATTTGGAAAAAAGTAGGAAAAGGACTAGCCAAACAACGCAGTGAAAGTGTGCGTTATAGGATTTTGTAGAGCAGAAAATTTTCTATCTTCTGAAGTCAGAACGAAGCCTTGAAACCATACGGGATATAGATAGAAATAGATACATGAATAACCCCATTATTTCAGGATCATCCGTTCCTGGTGGCAAAATATTAGAAAAATTTTTATTTCTCAATGCGAATTAATTAAATGAAGACGAATTCTTTACGCAAGGTACCTGTGATGAATAGTTAACAGAAGTCTTATTAAATAATCAGGTAGGTCAAGTACAAAAATAATTATAACTTGTTCCTACCGTCGGAGTTCGTCTTCTTACCTGTTCCCTACTCCTCCACTATTTTTTAAAATAATATGTAATGAAAGAAGGTGATGGATTTTGTAGAGCAGAAAGTTTTCTATCGAATGAGTTTAGAATGGCATCTTCGAACCTCAGTTGTGCACGAAAGAAAAGAGAACAAAAGTGTGTCATTATTTCTGGCCCATCAGTTACTTACTTTGGCAAGAGACAATTGGACTAACGATTCTACCATGTTGACATTCAATCGTAAACTCATTAGATCCCAACGGGTTTTGAGTTCCTGGCATACATCGATAACTTAATACACCAGACCATGCTATTTCACCATATGATACTTGAAGTTTTTGAATATTCTGACTTAAGAGCATAGCATGTGGAATAACCAAATCTGTCTTGCATGTTACTTCTAAAAAAGATGTCAAATAAATTTAATAACATCATCAAAAGAGTAAAATCATTAAAAACTTACGCTGACATTCTACCACACTATTATCGATACTTTTCCAATTATTATCGATGCAGAAGAAAAATTTTGTCGGTGAACCATCAGCAAAAATGTAGCCTTGTGAACATACAACAGTCAGCATGTTTTGATAGGGAGTCATAACAGCATTGGTTATCGTTGGTTGCTTTCCACCACATATACCTGAGAAAAAGTGACAATCATAAAGAAAATATTGATGTGAGATTTGTTAGATAACTCTGTTTAAAGTTATTTTTCTTCTGACGAACTTAATTATCTTAATGTAATAAACTTTTAGTATCAAAATCCCCATAGTTTTATTTTTCTGTTGAACGATATGTCATAACTTTTTTTTTTAGTAACGCTCTGAACTTACCGTCTGCAAATTGTTCCCAAATCTGATTATACAATATTAGTAACGAAATTATAACAGTTCTTTTCATTTTTGAATCTCAAATTTGTGTCTAAACTGAAAGAAGAAGAATTTTTAGTGAACATGTGTTAAAATTGGCAGAAAATCTTTGCATAATTACTAGAATATATATAATTTTTAACTAATTCTTTAATATGCAAAAGAGATTTTCTAGATGGGCCTCTCATCAAATCGCACTATACAGCACAGCTATACTTTGCTATTTGTTTTCGAATAATAGTTGATTATAGTTTGATTGTGCACGTCATTTAACCTATCGTTTATCTATCGGAAAGTACAATATGAGTTAATCTTTTATTAAGTGGCCTTTGATAAATCATCAACACTTGCACATGGTATTTAAGCAGCTTGAGGAATTGAGATGAAAACAATCCTGTAAAAAACCTATCTTAAATTTATATATATATAGTAATTGAAAAAGTCTTAACTTTAAGCATCCGAATGCTTCACCTATTAACTTGATCGTTTCTAGTTTAAGCAAAAGTGTAATTGAACGAATGAAATGGAGACAGTTTACTTTTCTGTATGTCAATTCTTAAATCTCTTTTTACAAATTTTAACTAAAGCAGTTCGATTTTATTGCTACAAACAATAGAGAGCGCGCACAAGTTCATATTCTACAGACAAAAATTTGTATTGATAATAATTAAAAAAATTATATATTATATCATAAAAATAATTAAATAATTAATAAAATTGTATTGCATGAATCAGAATTAGGTATGAATGTGCTCCATTAACCAGTCACAAATGAATATGTACAAAACTGATCCAAAGTAAAACAAGCGAAGGTTTCTCTTATCGCTACGTCATTAATATTTGGTTCCTTTGAAGATCGTCACAACTTTTAACATTAAAGTCATTCTAGAGAGTTCTTCAAATAGCTCAAAAAGAAATATTTCATAACCATAAATAGTGCGTAGAAGCGATGAACAGGAAACCCTAGATAACGTACTTGGGCCCAAGTACTTGGATTAAATACTTCGTCAGCGTAATGAAGTCGGTACTTGCCCTTTTTCCAGAAGTAAATTTACTTGTAAGTACTTGTTGTTATTTGCCAAGTACTTTCAGAAAGTACTCCTTAGTAATAAGGCAAGTATTTCGATCATTAAGGGTACCCCTCCCCTCTTTTTGGGCTTTCCGTAGAAATGCTGTGAAATAAAAACTAAAAGTCGCTAGGGCTTCGCATTTTCAGAACTGATCGGAAACTCAATGGAGCACTTTTTCGTTCTTG